GAAACAATCATATGGACATTACAACTCTTGAATTTGAAATTCAGAACCCCAAAACAATGGGTGTGCCTGCCTCAGAAGGTGTAACAGCTTGTAACACTAATAATTATCTTTTTTGGCAAATTAATTTGTGTCAGATGTCCCAGTGATAGATTCTGTGTGAACCAACTTAGCCACATGCCAAAATGACAAATAGTAAACATCTCTGCTCAATTTATTGTCTTTCTGTTCGGGATACCAATTTTCAGAGGAGCCTTCAATCTGATGCACCATTCAACCTAACTACTCGTTTTAGGGATATACACGTTGAAACTTGTCCTAGGAAGAATATAATAAGCTCTCTTCGGCCACCACTGTAATTGGAACAACATGGAAATTAATAGAAACTGTATCTCAAAGCGATTGCACCTTCATTATGAGACCTGCGTCATTGTTCTACGTTGCTTCGTCGTGTCGCATACCGTCACCTCTCGTGTTCGGTTTAATCTCTTCTGCTTTCTTTCAGTTGATCGAAACTTAACGTTAATGAGATGCGTTTGTTTGGATAATGTTTGTATGGTGTTCCATCAATCATTGACATTTCAATACTTCACTTGCTTTTCATCATATTTCAAAACACAACTTCACCCAATATGTTTGCCGCCCTTTACTTTTTTTTTTTTTTTTCATATTTTCCTTTTTTTCGTGGACAGAAATTTTTAAATAAAAAATTTCAGAAAAATATTATTTGAGCACAAGCTGTACCCCAAATAAATATCATACATTTTTTTAAGTACTTTTTTTGTTTTTCATTTTTCAAATCAAACCAATTTGAACATATTTTTATCGGTTAGATTATAGTTAAATGATTATTATTATTATTATTATTTATAATAAATATAATTTAAAAATATGATATAAATTGTAAAAAATAAGCATTCTAACCGAATTCTCATCATATTCATAATATTTATTATAAAACTAAAATATTCTCATATTATTATATATATACTATAATAATACTTATTACTCGCTTATAATTAATATTAAATAGATATATTTTATTATTTAAAATATTATAATTAATTCAAATAAATATATTTTATTATTTACAATATTATTGTAGAGGATCTATAAGTAAAATTATTATATTATTTATAAATTATCTTAATTTAATTGAGAAATTTATTATTATTATTATTATTATTATTATTATTATTATTTTCACTAACTTAGACAAGTATTGTGAGATGTAAATATCCTTTATTTCTAACCGTAAGTAGAATTTAATTAAAGATTGATTTGTCTGAATTTATTTATTATTGTAAAATTTTAATAAAATCAATAATATAATCTTATATATTTAAAAATATTTTTTTTATTACAAATTGTACATATTTTTTAAATGAAGGGAGTAATATTTTTTTGAATTTATATATATATATATATATATATTAAAATAAAAATTAAAATAATTAATAAATTCAATCATGATGAATATAAAACTAGGGGGAAAACTGATTCAGTATAACCTTTTCAATAGAGATAATTAGTAATGGATTTATAATTCAAATTTGTGTTATTTTCTATCCACATACTTTATGTTATTTTTTATAAATAAAAATTGTTTATTATATGTTAACTGGAAGAGTGAAAAAGCGGTTACATATTTAAGTTTAGACATAATTTACTATAATTAGAATAAAAAATTAAAATTGTTTAGTAATGAAAAGACACTATAAATAAATATTGAAGTGAGTTAATGAGATCCAAAAATCCTCTGGGAAAATAATAAAGAAATGATAAAAAGATATTTGAGTGTGAAGTCATTAAATGTTGAAGTAAATTAGTATAAAATGAAAACATTGGATGAAGAGGTGCATAGGATCCCACTAATGTTTGCATGTGGTGGTGTTTATTATGAATGCATCCTAACCTCCATACACCACACATGTTTATTTTCCACTTCAGATCATTCCTACACTATTAAAGCCAAGATCCCAACTATTATAACTTTTTCTTTTGTTTCTCTTTCTCTAAGTTTATTCCACTTCTTTTAACAATTTTTCCATTGTTTTTAAGTGCTACAAAACTAGTTTTAAAAGTTCTATATAATTCAAACCCTATGAACAATGTTAATTACTTTTTTTAATAAATATCAAAATTTTAACATGTGAATTAGTTTTGAGAGATTTCATATACAAAATATCTACTAATAATAAGTTAATCCTATAATATTTTTATTTAAATTATGTTATTGTGAAACTTTTTCATTTACATGTTAATTTTTTTTTTCAAATTTTAATTTTTTGAGGTTAGTGTTAACTTTTGGAGGCCTCACAGTGTTAAACTCCACCAGATATACTAGTTTTTGTTTTAATTATAATTAGATTATGTAGTTTGTTTTGTTATTATAGAATCAGTCTACTTATTCTTCAATTTTCAGCATGATCTCTTAGGATCTTGTATTTTTTATTTTGAATATTTTTAAATTGATTATTACAATTTTTTTTTAAAACAGAGGATATATTTAAAAAATTTAAAAATAAATTAAATAAACCATCATATTTTAACCATTCATTTGTTCATCTACTTATTCATTTATAAATCATAAAATAATTTTACTATAAAATTTAAAGACAATCTTGTTACTGAATATTTTCTTTTTTAAAATAGCGGGTTAGATTATAATTTTTTTCATTAGATTATTGAAAAGAACGATGGTCAATGAAGATGCTAAAATTAAACCCTATCCATATGTGAATGGACTTTGGTGTGTGTGCAGTGATCGTGATTGCGACCTACAAGGAGGGTCGGTGTAAATTATCACAAGAAAGAGATATTACATAATAATTACAGCAGAAAACATTTTCTTATATGTGCATTTTCATTCTCAACATTCTGTGTATTGTGTTTTGATTGATAAGGAAAATTAGTTATTTGATAAAATTTTTTTTATAATTTTATTTTGAACAGTTAAATGTTAACATAACGTGTGCTTTAAGTTTATTTTAATAGTTTTTCTTTATCTTAAATGTATGTTTTATTAAAATTAGTTAAGATTATAATCAAACTATCTTTCTACTTCAATAAATTATAATTCTAAATTCTAATAATTATTGTTTACTTTCACAAAATGACACTAAAGACCAAGTAATATTACCTTAAAAAAAGAAACTAATGATCAAATTGAGACTCATAAATGGTAGAAATAAAACAATCTGGTGATAAATTTGAGACTTGAAACTGAAGAATTTTCAATAACTTAAAATAAATTATCATATGCTATTAAATTGTCAATTATAGGTAAAAAAATAATTATGTCATCAAAATCTAGATTAAAACCATTTGATAAGTTAACTACTGTTATTGTAAAAGAGAGGAACTTAATCAACCTGAAAGACAGCAATCAAAGATTGTATTAGTAACTTGAACTGAAAAAAACAAGACTTAAATCACTTAAAAAATCTCAATGTTTCCTTTTTTCTATTTATCTCATTTAATTTAATTATTTCATTAATAAATTGTTAATTAAATATCTCACTTATTTAACTTTTTAAAAAGTTGAATAAAACCCTCCAATTTCGTCATATTTAGTTATAAATTACATTTATACATATATTAAAATCAATAAATTTTATATATATATATATATATATATATATTACATTGTTGTTTTTAAAAATTAAAATTATATATTTTAAATATAAATATTTATCTCAAAATTATGTATAGTTGTAAATTAATAAGCATGAGAGAATATTTCAAGAGGAGAGAGAAAAATTGAGAAAAATCCTGTGATTCAAACAACAAAGAAAAAACATCATATTTTAAAGAGTATAGACGAGACAATATATAAGAAAAATAAAATTTATTAAAGAATGGTTAAAAGAAAATCCTTAATAAAATAAATAAATAATAAAATGAATAATTGATCTTGAACATAATTAAAATTATACAATTACTTAGAAGATTAAAAACACAATTTTTTTTTCTATTTTGGGATTTTTAGCGTTGTTTTCTTATACCCATCTAGATATTTAAAGTGATATCTTATTCCTATTTTCTTATATTCCTGAATACATCCAGTTATGATAATTTAGTTTGAATCTTTCTAAATAGATTCATTTTTGGGACAGACTGGATTATCCTTTTACATTTATACATAATTTGTTTTTATTTTAACAACATAAAATGGTTGGAATTGAATCAACCTATTCAAAAGAAAAAATTGGATTCCATTTTTTCTCAAATTAGTATATTTTTCACACACCAGTGAGTCATGCGTACGTAACATGAGTCCTAAAAGTTTCACCTACAAGACCAACAAAGCGAACATTGGTGCTTCAATTTTTTTGGCATAAAAAGAAAAAAAAAAGTGACTAATTAATATTTTTTGTGGCAGTTGGTTTTGAGCATGTGTATTGTAGGTGGTACGGAGCGCGGCGTTGTTTTTCACTTCACGTTTTTACTTTACAGGCCAACTCTGTCCGTGCTGGGGTTGTCGTGTTCTGATTAATTAATGTTGTTTTTTAAGAATAAAATCAGAGATTGAACCAGTAAAGGGAAAATGGATCGATATATTCAATTGGTTAAACTCATAGTTATTATAATTTCAAGATTAAAATTGTAGGTGATAAATGTGCACATTTCTCTCTCTCTCTCTCTTTGTCTATTTGTCATGTTCCCTCTTGGGTTGGGTGACTCTCTTTGTTTTTATTGTTTCCCTTTCCTTCAGAATTTGTGGCACAAACACAGTTGCCCTTCTGTTTCTGTGTAACTTTCTCTCTCACTCTGTTTTTATTCTCTTTCTCGTGAATTATTTCATGAGGTTTTTTCTTTATTATTAAAAAACCTCCTTGAAAGGTTGCGGAAAAGTATTATTTTTAAAAAATAAATATTATTCCTCCCTCTTCCTCCCTTTTGGGTTGTGTTCGTGTGTCATAACAAAAGAGGAAGGGCATAGGAGATAAATCCAATCATAGCATAGGAAAAGAGAGCATCAAGTGCAGCAAATTCAGACGATGAATGGGGTCACGCACCTTGAACCAGATGACTCTGAGTTTGTTGAAGTTGATCCAACTGGCAGATATGGCAGAGTATACTCTCTTATTCTACTACATCCCTTCTTCTTCCTCCTATGCCTCACTTTCATGATGATTTTCTGTGTTTCTTGCAGTATAATGAAATCCTTGGAAAAGGAGCTTCAAAGACAGTGTATGGTTACAACCACATCCTATTTCGTCTACAATCATTCTACATCCTATTTTGTATTTCTGCCTGGTTGTGATTTACTTAGAATTTGAGTTTCTCTATGCTTATCGATGAGTTTTGTAGTGAAGGGCATATGGTAAATTTACATTTTTTGTTTGTTTGTGGTTTTGCGTCTTAATTGATGCAGATATAGAGCATTTGATGAGTATCAAGGGATTGAAGTTGCTTGGAACCAGGTCAAGCTGTATGATTTTCTGCAAAGTCCTGAAGATCTTGAGAGGCTTTACTGTGAAATTCATCTCCTGAAAACATTGAAGCACAGGAACATTATGAAATTTTACACTTCTTGGGTTGATACTGCGAATAGGAATATCAACTTCGTGACTGAAATGTTCACCTCCGGTACACTTAGACAGTAAGTTCCTTAGTTGCCACTACTTTCTTGGCAACTGCATTATTTCTGTTCATCAATCATTTTTGTGCATTCCAGATCTTGTATAGTTGGATCGTTTCTTCTTGTTTCCGACTTTCGCTTGTTTTAATTGTCAAATAGGTATAGGCTAAAGCACAAGAGAGTTAACATCAGAGCGGTGAAGCATTGGTGTAGACAGATCTTGAGTGGACTTCTCTATCTTCATAGTCACGACCCGCCTGTGATCCACAGAGATCTAAAATGTGATAACATTTTTGTCAATGGAAACCAAGGGGAAGTGAAGATTGGGGATCTTGGTTTGGCAGCAATTCTCCGGAAATCTCATGCAGCTCATTGTGTAGGTATGTTTATTTAATTTCAAAAAATATCATGTAGGGAATTGTCAAGAAAAGATGAGGCCGGCTCAATATCCTATGAAAATTTGTTCACGTTAGTTGATGCCTTTTGGAAATGATTTAGTAATAACAAGGATCAGTGATTCTAGTTGGGGGTTCATCTGTGTCTCTTTTGTTTTCACAGGGACGCCCGAGTTCATGGCCCCAGAAGTATATGAAGAGGCATATAATGAGTTAGTTGACATTTATTCCTTTGGGATGTGCATACTAGAGATGGTCACATTTGAATATCCTTACAGTGAATGCACTCATCCGGCTCAAATCTATAAGAAAGTTGTTTCTGTAAGTTTGTTCCCTTTCTCTGTGTCTTTTTGATAAGGGAATTTTCATTGGTGGTGAAATTTCATTGGTATATTTTCTACCACCAGGGGAAAAAGCCGGATGCTTTATATAGAGTGAAGGATCCGGATGTGCGACAATTTGTTGAGAAATGCTTGGCCACGGTGTCTCTTAGGCTTTCTGCGAGGGAGCTTCTAGATGATCCATTTCTTCGAATTGATGATTATGAGTATGATATGAGAACTGTAGAAAATGGGGAATTGGATGAATTTGGTCCTCTCATCAGACAGCCATTCTTTGATCTTCATCGAAGCTATAGTAACTTCAGTAATGAATACTCAAATGGGTTTGGGTATGAAGGAGACTGGTGTCCTCATCCGGCTGAGATTGAACCTAGTGGAATTGAACTTTTTGAGTACCATGATGATGAACCTTCTGAAGATGCTGACATAAGCATCAAGGGCAAGAGGAAGGATGATGGTGGCATCTTTTTGAGACTAAGAATTGCTGACAAAGAAGGTTGGTTAGCTGCTTTTTTACTGTGTCTTTTTAAACCTGTGATTTGTATATTTCATCGTGGAATTTAAGCCTAATAGTATGATTTGATTGTCACAGGTCGCATCCGAAATATTTATTTCCCATTTGACATAGAGATGGACACAGCAATAAGTGTGGCAACTGAAATGGTTGCAGAGCTGGACATTACTGATCAGGATGTTACCAGAATAGCTGATATGATTGACGGGGAGATTGCTTCCTTGGTACCTGAATGGAGACCAGGACCAGGAATTGACGAAACTCCCCGTTTTGCAAACCAAGGTTTCTGTCACAATTGCGTGTCTAATCATACTTCTAGCGGCTCTTTTCTGGATTTTCTTTCACACAAGCCAGGTGAGAAGAACTTGCAACTTCTCGAGTGTTGTAGGCATGGATGTGCTTCAATGCATGGGCGGTTTGAGGAGATTACCTTCCAATCTGAAGAGTATGACAACCATGCTAGAGGGGATCTGAACATATCAAGCCAATTAGACAGCTTGCAGTATGAGGAGTTATGGAACCAGCATGAAAGTCGTGAACTGAGTCCAGTAGAGTCTGATCAAAGCCATTCTGATGAACAATACGATCAACTAGATAAGTCAATTCCAGCTAAGGATAAAGAACGTGATGTTTGGGAAAACAAGGTTTCCCTCAATGCAGCAAATTCTCTAAGAAATTTATCAGGAAGTCATGATTTGTCTAATATCCGATCTGCTTATTGTGACCTTGAAGATGACTATGAAAAAGAGATTCAAAAGGAACTCAGATGGCTCAGAGCCAAGTACCAAATGGAATTAAGGGACCATAAGGATCGACAGTTTGATCAATCTTCACACAGTACTAACAAAGACCACAAAACAGAAAATGGCTCCTTGTCAGCATTACTGACAGAAACATTAAAAGAAGGCAACAATGGGACTCGGTTGAAATCGATTACTAATAAGTGGCATCGTGATTCCAGTAACCACCCTCATGTCCATGAAAGCTGCCCCAATTCGGACACCCAAAGGGCCCAAAATTGTGAGGCGAAGGAATCCCCTGACGAAGGTATGGTTACTGCGAAGAGTTTTTACACTGGCTCATTGCTTCCACTCTCTCTGCACAGGACAGTTTCCCTCCCAGTTGATGCTGTTGATATATAATTTTGTGAGGCACTCATTGGATTCTTTTGTAGATTATATATAATATAAATCTCCATACAGAGGCTATCTGATTTCTACATCATTCCCATCTTTTTTTTATAGGAATTTCAATTTATCCTCATGGAAATCAGTACCCACTAGCTATAATCCTTTCCCCCACAAAGGCATCAACATACACTTGAGTGTTTATTTATCTAGGAAAAAGAAAACCAGATTTTGGTTACAAATGTTAGTGATCCTAAATTTGAAAATTGAGGCATGTAAAATATGAAAAATGTAGAGTCTGTAAATCTGTCCAAGTTTGTTGTATCTCCCACGTAATGAAACAAGTATTGATAGAGCCTAACGTGTTAAGTTGTTTGCTTTATTTTTAACTTTCTGAATAGATATACAATAATTTGAGTGTATGTGTAACAACTGGGTCAAATTTACACTTAAACCATAAGTTAGCGGGACCCAAACAAAGCGTGTGGGATATTCATCCATTTGGCGCGGTTCTAAGAGATTATTATACCAAATCAAAGAGCATAGTCAATATTGAAATGCCCTGATACGCCAATTCAGCTGTTCATGGACAAAACAACTAGATAGGTTACATCATGATTATGGATATTATGTATGGTGGTAAAGTTAGTGGTAATGAAACGAAACTGAATTAATTATATTTATATGCATGAGCATGAGGGTGATAATTGAGTTGATAAGGGATGGGGCAGAAGGTACGTTGACAAGAGAATCAATTATGATTTCTTTTACAGCATAAATTATTTGGCATGACAGTTCTGACGGGGCGTTGTTGAATGGGTGTGCTTTTCTGAACTTTTTGCTGTGTCTCACGGTGGCCCTTTGCTTTTTACTCAATCATAGATGATGAGGTTGTTTTCTAAAAGCAATCAATTAATGGGATAGAAAAAGATACCACCAATAAGAGGAAGAGGAAGAAGTCCCACCACAAGAATCAAATTCCATATTTATGCTATGTAAGATAAATAGTTGCTGCTAATATTATTAATATAATTACTAAGGATAATCTCATCCATCCACATCCGGTCACCTCATTCCATTTGACTTCTTTGTTGAAAGTTTTGTTATTTTTTTTTTACTTTTATTTGTTTCAGAATTTTGTTCATCATCGAAAGTCATATACTCAATTTATTAATCATCAAAAGTCATATACTCAATTTATTAACCTTACATCTAGGTAACTGGAACTGACAAATCGATTAGTTGTATTTATAATAAATGTAACTCGGGGTTATTTTTCCTGGATAATATTATGAACAAATAAATGTAGAATATCATAAAAAAAATTAACAATTTTGAAACCTTTTTTTCTTAGTATTAATCATTAATCAATTTGTTTTTATCACTGTAATAAATATATAAAAAATTATAAGATGTGAAATTGAAATACATGTTTTATTTTAATAAAAGGATGTCAAGTCTCAACTTTTGCATTTTCTTAATGTGTATGTCTGTAAAATTATATCTTATTAATCAGCTAAAAACTTCATACCTACAATATTGCGTATAATTTTGTTTAACCTTATACAATAATAGTTTTTTCTTTTTATATATATTATACCTAAATTATTTTTCTATTTAGAGATTTTATGAAAAATGCTTCTTCCATTTGGTCTTACAATAAATAAGTGGTGGTAGTTCTAATCCATCGCTTGCCTAGCAAAACTACACGCACCTCAAAAATGATTAACATTTTCAGTGACATTCACACAAAGCAGACAGACAACTACCGTCATGCGAGAGGCCCTTCTTCAATCTCTACATATCGATACGAAATGTTTTCTTTCGTATATCACATGAATCTCATCTTCATTCAATCTTTTTTATTAAAATACATAGTCACTAAGAAGAAGAGTACAAGAGAATAAATTTGTTAACATTTTAAAAAAATCTATTTTTAAGAACTATATAATATAATAAATTTATATTTTATATTTTTAAGGTAAAAACCCTTTATATGAGTTTTTTATATTATAAATATTTTAAATCCTTTATAATTCTAAAATATTTTAAATAATATATATATATATATATATATATTATTCAAATATTGTTATTGAAAATATTAAAATATCTGTCACTTCTAAATGATTTAAAATAACTTCATTTAAAATGATGACACACCATCAACCTCCACCGTTTTCATAGCAAGAGTTTATATATAACGTAAAAATTTTCTAGGATGTTTTCAAAAGAGTTCGTTATTTAAAAATAAAATTAAATATTTTATTATGGTTTAAAATTTTGTGAAATTTACTTATATAAATAATATTTTTTAATTTTAAATATATATTTTTTATTTTAAAAAACTTAAATATAAAATCAATAATAAAATATTTATTTTTATTCTTACATAACTCTGATTAACCACTCTCATGAGATGCTGATGCGTTTCTATTTATCTGTTGTATTCCTTAAGCAAATTTTGGTCCTGGATTAATAAGTTGACCAAGTAGGTTGCAGAGGACAGAGAGATGTATGGTTGGAAAAAGATATATGAAAAAGACCTAATTTCAATTAGTTGCTATCACTGTCACTGTGTCCCATTTTTCACAGAAGAAGAATCCACGTCGTGCTTGTTGATACGCCACTCAATTTACCCAAATAAGAGGGTAAGAGATTTTATGTTTCAAAACCTCTAATTTGGTGGAACCCGCTCTGCTACATCTCTTGGATGTTATACTTCACTGCACATTCATTTCATTAATGTTACAGCAATCGTGTGCATGCATTCAACAAAATTATTCTCCAATTATATCATGTATACGTACTCCAACAATTCTCTTCCACGTAAAATTTAGGTTTTTATGATGTCTTAACACTGACCCAACAAGAGGGTTCAAGATCGATTGATTTTTATTTTTATTATCATTGTGATTTGGACTAGGATTTTCAACCATATTCTTAACTCTTTTTTTAAAAACAAAACCCAGTTCTATCAATAAACTTACAATAATCTCTTATACATATTTTCCTGGGGAGGGGAAGAATAATATATATATATATATATATATATATATATATATATATATATTATTCTTTTTTTTTTATCAAAATAGAATAATCATAAATGAAACCATAATTTTGGTGACCAAAATGAATTTTTGTCTCTAATTGATTTTTTTGCTATCACTTGAATTGAATTTGATCACTTTTTCTATCTGTCACTATCATTAATCTAAATACATGAACAATGATAACAAATAAATATTTATAATTATTAAATATTTACCATTATTTCTTGTATGTTTTGAGTTAAATAGCTCAACATATAACATTGTTGTTTAACACAATAGTAACCAACATTTTTCATGATAATTATTTTATTTTGAACATATTGTTAATTAAAAACTTTGATCATAAAAAATGATGAATAATATTTTACTTAATTAAATATTTATAATTTAAATTTAAATATTTTTATGTTTATGCATTTGTTTGGAAATAAAAAGTATTGAAGTTCTTAACATTTATTTATATAACCTAATTTTTCATGCTGAATCATAATCTTTACTTATTTTGTAAATAGACAAATACTTATATTTTTATTTTATTCTAATTAATTATTAAAAAATATTTAATTTTGATAAATATTTTTTAATAAAATAAAAAAACTAATGAATTATGGATAATTAATGTAAATAGGAAGAAGTAAAGATTAGGGAGGTGATTTTTTTTTGTTATGAAGATATATAATATATTCAATGGTCCGTGTAAAGGTGGCGGCAATCGAGCCCAAATCTTCTGGACCCAAAAATAAGTGTGGGAAAAGAGGGGGTTAAATTGGGCCAGCCCAAACGACAAGGATATCTAAGTTAGGGTTTATAAAAAGGTAGGGTTAAATTGTATGCTCCTTCCCCTCCGTTGGTGTCGTCGAGCCGAGAGTATCAGTTGCCCCGATTGCCGGCGCTCAACAAAAATGGCGGACAAGGCAGTGACCATCCGAACCAGAAAATTCATGACAAACAGGCTGCTCTCCAGAAAACAATTTGTAAGTTTATTTTTTTTTTCTTGTTCAATATTACCTTTTTTTTTTTTTTACGACAAATATGCATTCTGAAAACAATATTTTTCAGTGGACACTCAATTAGGTTGCTGTGTGCCATTATGAAATCTTCTAATTGTGATATGTGTTGAACATCTTGATCCCAAATGACAGAGAATCCTAGGGTTTTATCGGTAATCATTTTGCTATGTTATGTAGGTTGTTGATGTCCTTCACCCTGGGAGGGCTAATGTTTCCAAGGTATTTCCTTTTAAGCTCTAATTTTGTAAATAATTAGATGGAAGTTACATTATTAACCTATTGTTTAAAATTCTGTAACATCGTTTTTTATTTTATTTAAATTGTTATGTTTGGCGTGAAGGCTGAGTTGAAGGAGAAATTGGCAAGAATGTATGAGGTGAAGGACCCTAACACTGTATTTGTCTTCAAGTTCCGAACTCACTTTGGTGGTGGCAAGTCCACTGGATTTGGTTTGATCTATGATTCAGTTGACAATGCGAAGAAGTATGAGCCCAAATACAGGCTTATCAGGGTCAGTTAACCCAATCTTTCTCCCATGATTGTGATATAATTGTTTCCCTTTTTAAAAATGCTATTTTATTAGTTGATCGGTTTCTAAATTATGTTCTATCCTTTTCCATTATTATTGCTTTTATTTTACCTTCCCTTATGAGTTGTTTCATTTTTTGTTTAGAGGGCAGTGGGGGTGGGTGGGGATGAGGGTTGGTCTGTTTAAACTTGTAACTGCTGGTGAACCTAATATGTTTCATATTTTATTATAGGCTGTAACATTTAAGGGTTTTAGGGAAACATAATTTGGTACAAATGATTAGTCTCTGAAGAAATCATAAAATGCTCTTTAGTTGGAAAAGACCACTGTAGTCTAAAATTATGTTGTGGTTTCTTCAGATTGTATTGTGGGTATTAATTGTCTTTTTTTTATATTTTGTGCGACTAAAGGTGTTTTTTCTATTATGCTCGTATGCTGTTATTAGTATCCTTTATATCTAGTCACGTGTGCTTTTGACGTGTTATTTATGTCTGGTTTTTTTGTTTGAACATAAGCTGTAATATATTTTTTTGCAGAATGGACTTGATACTAAGGTAGAGAAATCAAGGAAGCAAATGAAGGAGAGAAAGAATAGAGCTAAGAAGATTCGTGGTGTAAAGAAGGTAATACCACTGTGTTGTTGACTACTGTTTATCTGTTGCATCCTTTTTGTTTCATAAAAGAATATAACCTCTGGTTTATTTTGCAGACCAAGGCTTCCGATGCTGCCAAGGCTGGAAAAAAGAAATGAGTTTTCAAACATTCTGTCCTTATTTCAAGGTTTAATTGCCTTTTTTCGAATGGTTATTTTATTTTTCTGATAGTTCCTAGAACGAGATGTTTTGCTGTAAGTGTTGATCCTACATTAATTGATTATCAATTTTGAGAATTCAGTTGGACACTCTGTTTTCAAATATTTAGTTTCGTGATAATGAAAATGGTTTTGCTTGTTTTGGGATGGACTAGTCGACTCTCCTTACAAAAGGATTTTAGAAGCCTCAATGGAATCATAAGTTGGTTTGACTTTCAACCTAAAGAAATATTTGAAATGGAACTGGTTTTGGACAGTAATTATGTCGAACTATTGAAGGTCTTCAATTCAAAACATGACCACAGGTTTTTCAGTTTATTTTGGAACGATATTGGTGCTAAATGAACAAAAAGGGGGCACATTATATACAAAGTTAATTTCAGGCCATATAATGGAACCCACTACATTCAATTGGTAAATATAGATGCCGATGAAAAGATGATTTGGCTTGGTGAGAGGAGTAATGGAAAGTAAAGAATTAAATTTGCTCATTGCTAGTTTGATCTGCAAAAGCGGGCACGATACATAACATCACATTTGTCAAGTTAATATGATACACACTCATGATTTACTATCAGTGGTGAATCAAAGGATCTAAGTTTTTGGGAACTAAAAAATATTCCTAGAAAATATAAATATTTATTTAAATTTTATGAAGATGAAGAAATGATGTATTATTTTTAATAAAATGTTTAATTAATATTGTTTTATTAATTGTTTTTAGTTCAATTTAGCAAAAGAAGTTCTATTATCTTTCAAAATATAAACCACCGGGAAATAATAATCTTTAATAAATATTTATAAAAAAGGTAATTTTTAAATCTAAATTTTTGTCCACTTGTATTTAGTGTTAATGTAAATTTTAAATTTAATTACATAAAAAACATTTAAAGATAAGATATTAATATAAAAAAACATTTACAATAAAAACTTTTGGAAACGAAAATACACTAAAATTTAATTACATGGTTGATATTTAAATATTAGACTCTTTATCATTGTTACGTAGTTCCAATCTCAATTTTTATTCATTATCTCTAAATAATTAAATTTTAATTAAATTGATATAAATTTAAAATATCGATACATATAAAATCAAATAAATTTTTGAATCATAGGAAAAAAAATTAAAACATTAATTTTTTTCTAGTTTTTTTTTTACATTAATCATTGTCAATTTTAAATAATAATAGTTATTTATATTTTTATCTTATTTTTTATTTTTTTACAATTTTTTATAATCTTTATTATATTTTATATTTATAACCTTTAATATAATTTACAAACAATCAAGATAAATTTTGATTGAACTGTTTTGAGTTACCCGATTTTTAAAACATAACGATTTTAAAGACATTAATTATATTGATCCGGTTTTGTTTTGAGTTATCTGTTAAAAACATTAATTATGTCAATCCGGTTTTAAAATCTTTAATAATGGATATATGTTTACATGTTGCTATACTTATTCTTATTATGCATTTTCTGAAATCACTGTTATATTTTAGTAACATTGTTTATAAATGATTGAACCATAATAATAGCCATTAGCCAAAAATTACATCTGATTGCAGGAAACATGTAAGTTAATAATATAAATGATTTCTTTCACCTTCCTTAAGTGTATGCTATCTGCTACAAAAATGTCAGTGTCATGCTTGTCATGCTGGTCATACTGCTTTAAAATGAAAATAAATTTGTAGTAAATTTAGTCTTGATGGTTTATTGATGATCATCAATCTATGGCAAGTTGCTGTTTCATTTTTGCTATGGAACGAACTCAAATCCACACTTGCATCCACGGCCTTTGTCCTTGCAAGAGCTTTCAATATTGATACTCGCTGGTCTCAACTTGGAGGTGGAACGTAGAGAAGTTTACCAAATCCCCCATGCCGTAAGACTGCACGATCCATCACCTCAGACCTGCAAAAATAAGAAAATATAGTGTGATATGAAGTAATAACCGTCAGAAAATAGAGTCGATAAACACCTTGCCGATGCTCTGTATCATCCAATTCAATAAGCAGCTGCAAATTAATATAACTGTCATTTTTTTTTCCTCTTATTATCAGTTAAAATGGCTATACATTTCTCATTTCAAAACACAAGCAAGTATTTGGCCTCGTTCAGTGGTTCAATAACCCAACCACCTTCTGATAAGGTTTTGTTGTCAAAGCATCAACCCGAAAATGAAATAAAACTAATTTTAACACTAGTTCTTTCTATACAACTTGTTTGCCAATAACTTGTTTGAACCCTTCGATCTAGGAAAATAATAATAGATATAACTCTTAAACATAAGATAATAGTTTGCTAATGAATTACTAAATACAACAATAATAACCGCCAGATAATAATAATAATAATAAATAGATTTACTAACAGCAAACAAAGAAGCAGAACAAAGACAGCAATGTTACTGCATAATTGTTTCTCCAAATAAAGAAAATTCTAGACAATAATCTTTTTGTATATAATTAACAATCTGAAATCAAATTGGCAGGTCAAGATAAAATATTTAAAGTTAACCAACACTATTAAGAAGAGAACCACAAGCATACCTCATTAAAAAATATAAAGTGATCGAACTGTAAGATCACTTTCTCTAATATTTATTTAAAAGTTCAGGACTCTAAAAATTCAACAAAAGCAATTTAATCGTTTATAAAAGTATGTATTCAAAATTAGACAACCAAAACTAATTAAATGGGCGTAGTAGCATTTAGACAGACCGAATAAAACTAGCCCCTGCCTGCCTCACCGGCAACAGCTTTGGCAATGAATGTTTTACCACACCCAGGAGGTTTAAGCAAAAATCCGGTCTCGAGATCAACCCCAAGCCCCTAATATAAATGATCCAAGAATAGTTATATACAATTTACCATAAGTTTTCTTGAAATGACAGAGAAAAATCAAAGATCAAGACTTAGCAAACGAACATGAAACTTATCAAGAGAGTTTAAATATATAACTACCAAATTATTAAATATTGACAAGAGGTTTTTTGAATCCTTACTCTTAAGTCTAAAAATTACAAAAAATCGAAAGAATGGATTAAGTCTGATTGAATATCAAATGGTTGGAAGGAATGAATACAGTAATTGAAAAAGACATATGAGATAGAAAAATAATTAGTGTTAAGTTTTTCTAAAAAAGATAGAATATCAATACATTCAGATATTGAGGAATTAAAAGTAAAGAACCTAAAAAAAATTAGGAATTGAAAACTTAAAGAGTGGAGAACGTCAACACAGATATATCTAGAGGAAGTTACACAGAAAGATTTTTCAATAGTACATCGAAAGACTGATAAAAGAGGTTAAGAAACAAGATCCCTATAATGTGCAATTACAAGTAAACATGTATCAATAAGGTGAAACAGTTATAAGAAGATAAACGTTTGAAGGTTCTAATTTGTAATTTTCATTATTTTTATGATTGTTTTAACGGTTACAACAAACAATATATATAGGATAAAATAAAAGTAATTAAGGGTAATTGGAAAATTGTACAACTTATATTCTAAAAATCGTTGCGAATTGGGAACAAGTATTTTTTAATGGAGTTCTTTGTAATTTGGATTACCACTTTCGTGGCATATGAAACTTGGTCACCCTTCAAAATAAAGTCTTCAATATTCTGATATTGCTTTTAATTCGATTAATGCTTGAACCTTTTCCAAACAAAAATGTTTAACATATCTCTCTAGTCACACCAAATCAACTTTTTTTTTTTAACTTATTCACACTGATATATGGGGTCCTTTTCTACTTCTTCTATTGATGGATACCGATTTTTCTTAATTATAATCAATGATTATAGCCGTTTTACTTGGGTCCCTTCTTAAACATAAAACTGAAGTTAGACACATGCTCCACAATTTCATTACTTGAAAATCAATTTTCTTGTAAATTAAAGAGATTATGGTCTGATAATAGCAAAAAATTTCTTTTTAACAAGAAGGGAATTTTTCCGTAAAACCTCTTCTGTTGCAACCCCTCAACAAAATGAGATTCTTGAGAGAAAAAATCAACACCTTCTAAATGTTTATAGAACTTTCCTTTTTCAAGTAAAAGTCCCAAATATTTTCTAGTCTTATTCTCTCAAACTTGCAGTTCATATTATAAACAGACTCCTTACCCCTTTTTTGCACCATAAATCTCCATATGAACTTGTTTACTCTCTCAAACCTGAATTTTTTCATTTGAAAGTCTTTGGATTCCTTGCTTATGCTAGCTCTACTACTATTGGCAGAACTAAACTTGATTCCAGAAGTTTAAAATGCATCTTTCTAGATTATAAATATGGAGCCAAGGGTTATGTTCTGTATGGTACTCAATCAAAATCTATTCTTGTTTCAAGAAATGTTATTTTTCATTAAAACATTTTTCCTTACTCTCTTTCACAAACATATTCTTAGTCAGACTAATGTTTTTGACATTATTGCTTTCGATTTTCCTTCTTGGCCAATTTCAATTGTCACATATTCTACACAAGAATATCATTATACTTCTGTTAAGTGGTAAAAAGTTGATATAATTATGCCTTGAATTGTTATGAAACCACTTAACTTATGTTAATTCTAATATATTTTTCTCTCAATATAGGATGAATTCGAGAATACCTTGATACAAAAGGAAGGAGCATAATTGTCAGCATAATTAGAGTAAAATTGAAAGAAAGAAGAGCGCTTAAGCAAATAAATGATGCGAGGCCCGACCCAAATTCTCTTATAAAAAGATAAGTTGTGTTTTGAGAAAAGCAAGCAGTCTTGGAGAGGAGGAGGCACGACTACTGTTAGGGTTTTGTCCAATCTTTATCAATTCTTCTTCATCAATTGAAGCATTGTAATGGCCAACATGAGTGACTAACTTCATTCTCTTAGGATTCGGTGCACTTCCTTTGAACTCTTTTGTATCATGGTGATATTTTGATATATT